ACGGATGTTTCTTCTACCAAAAAATCTATGATCGACGAATTAAAAGACAATCAGAAAACGGAAATTTTCTGCAGATCTCTGAAAATTGTACTATTGCGCTAAAGCCTACATGCATACCAATGGATCGGACTTTAAATAAAAAAATATGCATTATCTTCCTTTTGTATTTCCGATATTTTAAAATTCCTGTCCTAAAATCTATGGACCGCGCTCTCTACCAGATGTATGGTTATAACGAAAGTATTTCCAGTCAAAATGAATTAAGCGCCTACTTTTAGTTACGTGGGTAGAAACACGAATGTGTCGAAAGTATCGTGTGGTCGAAGCGGGGACGGATCTAGGTTTTTCGGGACCTACGGCTTATCCAAGTCCAATGAGGCCCCATTTTTTGTTAATACAAATAATACTATAAATTATCATTATTATTATATTATTAATATTACGGTAACTATTTTTTACTATACGATAAGTGCTCGTTGTTAATAAAAAAACATTAAAAATTTACGATAATAATTCAATTTTTGTGGGTCCTGGGCTTAAGCCCTATTAGTCCCTGGGTGGATTCTATACTACACGGCCTTTGTTGGGCTAAATTACAGTGGCGTGCCGTCATTAGAAGCGTTGGAAGCGCCGCTTCCCTCGTATTTTCTAAAAAAATAAATAAATATTAATTTTAATTATATGAAAATAATCGCACAATATTTTATTATAACCGCATTATGTATCTTATTATAATTTTCTATACTACACGTGGAAAAAAACAAAAAAAAAAATTGCTATTGTATATTAGAATATTAGTGACGGAGTGTAATCTCCTGTATTTTCAGATTACGAAAAGCAAGATTTGCGCATGCGCTTTACAGAACACCAACCTCACCCGGTGTAGCCGGTGGAAGCCTACGACCTTGGGTGAAAGCTGCACACATATAAGATTACAACTCTGTCAAGGACCGGTTCTGGGCTGTTAGCCGCCTGCCCACTAGATATTTCGATTACGTGAATAATGAGTAGATTTATAACTTAACCCAACCGATAAGAATTTACTGGTATGTTTTTACGATAGTTCTGTATAGTTGA